CTGTCGTGTATCGATCGAGAACGTGGTGTTTGCCGGTTGCCTTATTCGTACATCGAGTTGTAACTGCAGCTATTGTGCTCACCATTTTAGAGCCGTGCGGACCAACGCGCCTTTCCAGATTTATTTCCTTTGCGCATTACAGAGTCGCTTCAATACTTCAAGNGCGTTGCAAGAATGGCGAGCACGGGAAAGATGTCGTTGAAGAGAAAGGTGTGTTAATTGGTCCTTATAAGGGCTTTGGATGATATTCTCGTTCATATACTAATTTGCTAACTGTTGTAGTTCGTTCAAGCTGGGGTTTTCAAGGCCGAGCTTGATGAGTTTCTAAAGCGTGAACTTGCTGAGGATGGTTACAGTGGAGTTCAGGTGCGAGAATGTCGCAAATACACCGAAGTGATTATTCTGGCAACAAAAACCCAAAGTGTTTTGGGAGAGGGATCGCGTCGAATTCGTGAACTGACCTCTGTTTTGCAAAAGCGATTTGGCTTTCAGGAAGGTGCATTGCAACTGTTCACCGAAAAAATGACCTACCGTGGTCTGAGTGCTATCGCTCAGGCGGAGTCGCTCCGTTACAAGTTGACATATGGCCTCCCTGTCCGAAAGTACGTCATTCAATTGTCAGCTCTCGATTGTTAGGGCTTGCTATGGCATACTTCGATTCATCATGGAGTCCGGAGCCCGGGGTGCGGAAGTAATTGTTTCCGGGAAGATCAAGGGACAGCGTGCTAAATCGATGAAGTTCTCTGATGGTCTGATGATTCATTCCGGGGATCCTGTAAATTCCTATATTGACAAGGCTGTCCGTCACGTTTTACTACCACAAGGTGGGTTTATCCCCGTGCTTTACCTTCCGATCCACGCTATCCCCGCCGCGAATTTGCCACATTCGGTTTTGTTGTGTTTTGTTTTAGGAATCCTGGGCATCAAAGTAAAGATTATGATGAATCACGACAGCACCGGTAGGACTGGTCCTCGAAAGCCCTTGCCTGATACGGTCACCATCCTTGGCGCCAAGGAGGAAACAAACCCGACTGTACCTTATTCGGAAAACAAGATGTGATTGAAGTTCTTTAATAAAGTACTCGAACGGAACAATGGTTTTGACTGATACCCTGAGTTGCTAATGGCAGTCGGTGGTAAGCTGCTTTTCGGCCTCCCTTTGTTCGGTCATTCATTTTGCTCAGCGGAGTTCCCTATATTCCGGTTGAACTGCAACGTATTGTTCAGCTAGTGCTAAAATGAAGTGGTTATCTGCATAACGTAATAATGAGGCGGCTTTCTCGACGGTATAGTAAAACCCCTGGACGGAGACCGTTGGGATAATCCTTTCCCTTCATGGTTCAGAGTAAAGTACGTAGTGTATGCTGTCCTCATCTGAATTACTTGCTGAGTACATTGATCTTTTTGCATCTATGAATGCACATGTTGACGCTGGTCAGTTTTTGTATCGTTTTCGTGTGACCCAGGTAATATCGGTAACTCTCGTGGCCACCTAAGTTATTAGACTGATTCAAGTTAATTCCCTTAATGGTGACCGTTTATTTACTCGATGCCCCTACTTTGTCCCGTTGCGATGAATACGATCTAAATTCTTTAGCTGAGCTCAGAGGATTTATGAAATCAGTCTGGTCGTTCACGTGCTATTTTCACCCCGTATAGTGAATTGAGCGTACCGTACACAAAATCCGCGCTCATGCATGATTTCAGGTATTGGGTATCCCCAAGGATAAAATGAATTGATTTTGTTACACATTTATGTGATGAACGGCTCCCGTGGTCACGAAGACCTTTTCAGTGTCGGGAACCGGACTAGGAGTGGCGAACCGCTAGGTTAGGGCAGCACACCTACCTACCACCGAAGTTAGGTGGTGGGGTTTGAACATCTCACCATTGGGTCAAAGGTACGCCAATGATATCGTCACAACCAACCTAAATGCATTTTAGAATGTCGAGTGGACTCCTTTAAAATAGAGGTGACGAGAGTGACCACTCGTGAAAATATAGTATCTATGATCACTGGACGAGATTGTGGTACTTGCGTCTCGGACACAATTTCGTTATTGATGTAACTTATTTTCAGTGAAGAATAAGTGACATCTGCATGGAGGTGGTCGTTGTCACTGGCTTGCAATCACCCTAGCCGCCAACGCACTAATACGTCTAGTGCTTGACTTATATCACGCGCACTGTCGACCTGTTTTCGACATAGTTCACTCGCGTTGGCTTCTGTTCTTTTTGTAGGGTGAATCTCCCATTGAGGTTACTGCGATATCACTTTTTTGCGTTCGAAACCACCGTTGCGATTCACGGAGGGTGTCTCATTTAGTCGTTAAGTAAACAAGCTGCTGAAGAAAAATGTGGTCTAAGGCACGCACACGTTGCATACTCCACCACATGAAGAACGCCGAATTAACCGTTGGTAAACTTAATGCCTTTTACTCGGTGTACAATGTACCTCGTATAGATGTCAGATTCGCGTTATATGGATTATCTAGCTGGCTGTTGTCAATCGTTTTCTTGGTGATCTTCATTAGGGCCTTGAATCTGAGCTCATCTAGGTGCGGCAAACGGTTTGATTACCCCATCAGATGGAAGCCGCTTCGCTCATCCGGTTATGAACTTTTTCTTTCCTACGGCTTCGCTAAGACACCGTCACTGAGTTTACAGTTCATTGACATAACTGTTGGCAGTTACGCTAGCGTCAGGCCCTAGCAAGTAGTCGTCGTACAGACAGCTGTCATTTCGAGTGACCTAACTCTGTCAGGAGGAGGGGGAGGGGAAACAGTAATTTGTGACCCAAGCGACGTTTCGTTCAGTTCTGATAAATATCATTGATCAGTGAGTTTCTGATAGTAGCGTCTATTTTATACCCAGTTGTAGCCTCGCTAAGTATCTGAATTAGGCAAACTGAACAAGCGTTTCCACTATCCTGCTTGGCTCGGGTGTATATGTTGCATCCAACAATTAGCCGTTGAACAAACCAAGTTAAAGAAGAAATAGAATGATATACACCTAACCACGTGTTTATTGGCATTGGGGGAAGTCCAGTTTCAGTTTTTACAACTATTAACCATGCACTTTCCTGCGCAAGTTGTGGTTGCTAACTTTTAGCCGCCCATTTGGATAAGGAAGCAGGAGGAAAATAGATCATCGTACAGCGAAGCTCATAATATACATACACCAAGTCATAAGGCACAAGATGGATAGGGATTCGGCTTAATTGGAGAGAGGCAAAGAAAGTTGAACTCTATGGTAAACACAGTACACGATATCAGTTTGCACACACTTTTTCAAGCATTCTGACCTGAGAGGAAATGACAGCAAGAACGCCACTGTTTTCGGTTAGTCGCCATATTCTTCAGTGTCTCCAAACAGCCAGTTGCAGTCTTTTGGACCCCAATCTGGAAGACGGGAGATATCGATTCTACCTAATCTTTCTGTGCATTTCTTCATACCTCGATTCCATGTCATCTTTTGACCTCCACGCGGTTTCTTTCAACCTGAAGCTGCAACTGCGAATAGGGCAGGGTGCGACAGACGACGGCTAGGCATACGCAATACGTGTCCTAACCAGCAAGGCCGACTAATCTGAATTCGATGGGACAACGAATTCTCCACCGAATCATTACCAGATACGCGACGACTTAACTCAGAGTTGCTTATAAGCTCGCGCCATCCAACCCACACCAAACTAGGTATACATCTGCAGTTGAATAATTCTAGACTTCGAATATCTTCCACGTGCAAATTTAGGGTCTCGCAACCATAGATAAGAACTGAACGTAAACTGGCGCAGTACACTCGACCTTTCAGTTTCAACGAACCATCGCATCTCCACCAAAGGTGTTTCAGTCNCGGGCGGTTACTGCATTGACTATGCTACCGTTATTTGTAATGCAACTACCTAGGTGGGTGAAACATTCCACTACAGCTAATTCTTGACCATCGAGCATCGGCGCTGGGTAGTCGACACCCAGTCTTGT